AGTCCATAATAATGTGGTTGTAAAATGTGGGAACTAAGGTAATTCAACATGTTTAGTATTTATTATGTTAATCTATCAATATATAATCACAAAAATTATCCTAGTATAATAAATATCCCACATTATATTTGTAATATATTACTCTAAAACCATTTTTAAGAACTATTATCCTTAACATAAATATTTTGATAACTGAAGTACTACTCCAACCAAATTTTGAAGTAAATATCAAAATTCTCAACAAATTATTCACCCATTAATTAACATGATTTACAGTAAAAAGAAGGTTCTCAACTTAAAAACCAAATGTTGTATCACCATGGGATACCTACTCATTAAATTAATAGTACATAACATCCTAAGAATTTTAAAATATAGTCTTTAACCACAAATTTCAAAAATCAGAATTTGTAATAATTAATATAATGCATTTTTGCAGTTGAATAAGTTCAGTTTACCTTGGCTTATTTTCTTAGACTTATATTAAAGTATTTAATCTATATAGTATACATTATGTGCTAATTTGGATAAATTTATTTATGCGGTATATTTTTATTAAAAAAAGTGTTCATTGTTTAAACTTTTTAAAAGTATAGACACTATAGCTTAAACATAAATAAAAATTGTTTACATTCTTGAAAATKTATGTTGTTTTTAAAAATTAGATAGGTTTGCAGTACATTCAATTTCTTTCTTATTATTTTTATTTTTTGTTTTTAGTTCTTATGTTTGCGCAACATAAAAACATTTCTGCAAGTATGTCAAGAAGTTTTTGATGTTAAAGAGTATGATATATTTGATCCAATTGTATTGTTTGAACTATCTGATTTTTTCAAAGTTATTCGTACCTTATCAATTCTATCACAAACTCAAAAATTGCAAAGACTTCATATTCCGTATGTATCTATAATAAATACAATTTATTATTTTTTTTTACACATGCAATTTTTTTTGAAATGTCTTTTGATTGCAGTGGATTTATTGTTACTAAACCAAGAACATTATCACAAGAAGACATATACAGAAACATAAATTCATTGTAAGTTATATTATTTTACAAATATTTTTAGTGATGGGTATTGTATTGGTATTATAACATATATTTCATTTATGTTATTTATTTAAAAAAAATTATAGTTCATAACTTATAATTCCATATCATTTATGTATATAAATTATTCATCTAAAAAATGTATTTGTTTATTTTACTAATAGTATTTTACTAATACCCATTACTATAATTAACTACCTAATTAATTATTGTTGTTTTGAATGATTTTAAAATTATATTTTAGAGACCTTGTATCTTCTAGAAGTGCTTTATTAGATTCTTTTCATGAAAATGAATACACCAGTTATGATACTCATATTCGAAATGAAGAAATTTATCATGATTTGTGTGCAATTGATATTCAATCTTCTCTAACTATTTCAGAGGTATTTTATTAAATATTATTAGTTATCTAATTTTTTTGTGATAAAAGTCTGTCCGATAATTTTAATGACTATTTAATAATGAAAAAGCAGGGATAGTAAGAAACCTCTTTGTTGTATAATATAGGTCTCAACTCTTGTGTGTACATCGTCATTGAAGAGTAGATCTTTGAAATKTATATGTTAAATTTGAATTAATTGTTTACAAAAAACATTACCTTCAAAAATTTCACTGTGATTACAAAGTATAAAATACTTATCAGTTATTGTGTCTACCTTAATTTACACGACATAATTTTAAAAAATGAATTAAAAATTATAAAAAGTATAATAAAAATTAGAAATTCAAGTTTTATAATTAACTTGGGAAGGAATATGTTTAGACATGAAACTTAAGATGTCTTTACATAGATTTTCGTGCTTTTGACACCACATGAATTCAACTTTATAACTGTGTAGATGTTGACGAACTGTACCTCTATATTTCTTGTTGTGCCATTTAGAGGA